ATTTCATCCAAACATCTTGGACACAGATACGTTGAAGATCACCTCAGACATGGACTGAATTACAAATGAATAAAAGCACAGGAAGCTTTGAACCCTACTTCCATGCTTACAGGCTGCTTCATCCTGGCAGATTAAACCTCATTGAAGTTCAGTTTCCTTAACTGTATTATAAGGTGTACAAAGCGAGCAGAACACCTCAGTTATTGTTATGAGGATTAAATCAGAAAATAACTGATACCAACTGCTCACTAAAACGTGTTCACCACTAACCATAACCAGAGTCTTACTCTTTTTGAGAAATAAATAAAAGGTCAAAAGTAGTGGCACATTGGTCAGTGACCAAAATAAATCACTCAATTGCTCTTAGACCCTTTCCACTGCATATTTTCATATTTTATAGTGAAGAATCTTGTAAATTTTTGCTACCCTGGTGAAAATTCTGATATTAATTATCCTGATATTGATTACTCCTTAGGTCTTTGGTTTAGTCTGAAATATTTTCTTATATTTCATCTGAAAAATTTACTTCCAAATAGAGTGTTGGTTTAACTGTTGGCTCCGTAGTCCACGTCTTTGAGATAGGTGTATAAAATGATTTTTAAAAGATGTATAGAATAATCTAAATGTTTTATAATTCACAAACTTATGGATTCAGAGGAGGCTGAACTGCCTGGAATGTAACATCTCCATGGGGAGAGAAACCAGATGGAACACGGACTTTGCTTTTCTCTAGGACACATTAGCAGGAGTATCTGTAGATGACTGTGGATCTGTGTGTGTGTGTGAACCTGTACGGTTCCTGGTTCCATGACCATATGAGTCATGGTTCTGAAGAAGCTTCTTGATAAGAATGGGCTTGGGGGTAAGTACGACCGAGCTCAAACCCTTTTTACCAAATGGACATTTCCTTAACTCCTTTGTGGCTGTGTTTTCATTTATAAAATGGGGTAAGTCTTTTCATAATTCAAGAGCAAAGTCTCAGAGGTGGGTGCTCTGCAAATATTGCTGTTAATGAATTTGAACCATACATGGACCATCAGCATGTTACCAATTCAATATTTTAAAGAAAATGTTCCTGGTATAAAACTCTTCAAAGTCCTTCCAGAACCACTTCCCCAACCTGGCAGACATCTCTGCCAGAATCTTCTAAGTTAATGGCATGCTTCATAAGTTTAACTAAAAATCCAGGTTTCACAGGTCACTGTGAATGGGAGGTGCACTTTTATGTACTCTGATCGAGTTTTCCCTTGATAACAGCCATCAAAATTAAAAACCTAATTTTCTAAGTCCTTCATTCTATTTCTACTTTGAATTCTTCTGGCCTTTCCATTTGACTTTGTAACTGATTTTATAAGACAGCAGTTCACTGATTTTCTAGTATTCTAAAGGGTAAGCCTAAGTTTTATTTGTACCCTCAGTAAAAACCTCCAAAACATCACATTAAATTTTCTCTAGACTATGTCTTACTGGTATTTGATAAGCTGCCCAGGGAAGCTGTCAGTGATGGCTGTGATACCACAGGTCACACCGAATTCTAAGAAGGGAGGGGGCATCTGGGGTATGCTCCTGTCCCCATCTTTGGGTCTTGAAGTTCATGATCTTCCATCACTGCTGTTGAATCCTGATCTCTGGGTAGTGAATTTCTATATATTTAACACTCACATTGACTTACCTTGAGGTTTTTCTAATTCTTTCACTCTTGGGAATCGGATCTCACCCTCTGAGACTAGCCTATGAATAAATTTCTCTCCTTTCTCAGGACTGATAATAAGGTGTCATCTTTTCTCCCTCACCTACCAGCTCATTTTGACATGTTCCTCTTTTAGCTTCAGGGAGATGTCTGCCTTCACATTTGGCATTTTGCAACACCTGTTCCTGCCACAGGCTATTGCTCTTCTCAACCTCTCTAGGATTTGAACTGCTTTGCTTAGTCAAATCTCATTACTTGTTCTGCAATTGCCTTGGGTCACCACTCATTATCAGAGAAGAATCTAAAGCCTTCCCAGTAATGTAGGGGGGGTAATGGTGGGCATTTCCTTCTATCTGGCTTTAACAAAATCATCTCCATTTTGCTTCCTTACTTATCCTCTTCGACACACAGAGTAAAGGTAAGCACTCCCAGAGATCATTTCTGAAACCAGGTCTACACAGGTTTTGAACAAGCAGATCTCGACCTGAAAACCCACCCACTATTGGACAACAGAACATGCAAATTAACTGAGCAGAAGGGAAACTACTGTTAAAGGACAATAAGGGAAATGAGGTCATGACAGCACCTGCCAACTTCGGTCACTGCCACAAACGGCCAGCCGGGGCTTAGTGTCTGATTCAGAGATGGCGATGAGAAATTTCAGGTTCAGAAGCAAGAAAAGGAAACAGGACAGTTGGAGATTTTGTTTGTAATTGAGATTTTGATGTACTTTGAGTTTGGACATTTTTGAATCTCTAAATATAATTTAATGTCTGGGATGGAATTAATGGTAAAATGTATCAAGAATATTCCTGCTTCTCAGTTGAAATTTAAAACTCAGTTAACTCAGAACTGAAAATTAAAACTAAAATGGTACACCTGGCCCTCCCTGGTGGCAAGACAGGTTAGGACACAGCACTGCAAGCTGGCTGCAGCTGCTTCAGTGAGAGTTCTATCCCCAGTCCTGGAGGTGACCCACATGGCCCAGGAGACCTCTCCTGACCCTTCCGCTGCTCCCCAGGAGACCTCTCCTGACCCTTCCGCTGCTCCCCTCAGCAGTGTACTTCATCGATCTGCCTTTTCTGCTCCCCACTCTGTCCCTGGTGAATCCTCTCACCCTCCGCATCTCTGGCCTGTACCCCAGTTCTGTATGAATAAATAAATCTTTTTTTTTTAAAAAAAGGTATACATGATAGATCCTCCAAATGAATTATTGATGTTATTCCATTGTTATTATGGATAATATTACTACTATGTGGTTAGTTATGTATTTTCTTCTCAAATTATGAAGTCACACAAAAAGAAGGCAAAATATGTGTCCATATATATTGTCATTGGCAGATATTACAAATATAGGAAAGAGAAAATGCAGATTAACTGCTGCCTCAAGTGACCAGAAATTCTTGTCAAGGTGAGCTCCATTTTAGGAATACAGCAAGGAGCTGGAGCTAACATTCAGAAGACAATGTCCTTTTGCAAAGACACTCCTTTCTCAGCAGTGTTAGTGAGGCACTGGTGAAGGGCACTCACTGAGTGACCACAGAGCCCTGAGTTCCCAGTACCTGTGCACCATCTCCCCAGGTATGGGAAATCTCACAGTCAAAGTTAAGCCTGCCAGCGGGATGTTTGATATTCTAGCTGTGCTACAAGTTCTGCAGCTCACACTCTGATTCGGTTATTAATAAAATGATAATGCGAAACGCTGGCGTTAGAGCACAGCTGCTTTCTAATCCAGAAGCTTTCACTGTTCTTTATCCATTGTCTTCCACCCACACGGCATCTTTTTCCACCTCTATATTCACTCATCAGACAATCTGGACATATTCGACAACCTACATTCACTTAAGAAAAAAAAGGAAACTACCCACAGGTTTTCCTGCACACATGTGGCTCTTCCCTCACCCACACAGTCCATGCTCTTCCTCACTGCTTCCTACCCCTTCCCTTCCCTGTGCTGGTCCTAACTGATGGCTTTTCTCTGCTGTTAATTTTTTTTAATTGATGTTTTAATTTTGAACCGCTTCTCGTTTGTTGCATTTAGCTCTTGCTTTTATTCCTGTTTAAATTTCTTCTTTTCTATCAAGTTTCCATAAATTGATATCTGTGGAAATATATCATGAACCTCCCCTTCAGTAACCAACTACTGAGCAGTATCCTGGGGCTCTAGGTGCTAGTGGTGAGGATCTCTTCCACCTTTTCCCAAACAGCCTCAAGCCCTCACAGTGCAGTGAGGATAACAGACACGAAAGACCTGGGAATGCCACAAAGGGAGAGCTGGCCAGTGAACGCCACCGACTCCTACTCCTTTCACTGCCAGGAACTAGATCTATGGGATAAAAGGTGACAGGACACAGCCTTGGACTCAAGGAGAGAAAAATAATTTTCAAATATCAAAATGTAAGTGAAAACTAGAGGGAAAGAGGAAATGAGTGGGGGAAATGGTGGCATGAACTAGGGCTGTTACCCGTGGCCAAGCACAGTTTGGAGTTTTGTTGTGTGTGTGTGTGTCTTAAGAAAAAACACAAAACAAAACAAAAAAGTAAAACACTATCCTATGCCTGACACCCTTCTTCACTGTTTCTCCCAATCTCTTTGCCTCTGGGTCTTAGTTTGGTCACCCATGTCTACTAGTTTGCTTTGTTCTATCAGTTGATCTGCTTTGTTTTTTTATATTACTCACATATGTTAAATCACCTAACTATTTCTCTTTCTCTTTCTGGATAACTCCACCTCACATGAACCCCCTTAAGTTCTCTCCCTGTTCCTATAAGGGGCAAGATCCCATCTTTCGTTATAGTTGAGTAGTATTCTGTTGTATTTATGCTCTAAATCCTTTAAATTCAGTCCTCTATAAGTGAACACTTCAGAGCTTGGGCATTAAAACCACAAAAGACATAACTGAAAACACACTGGTGGTGTTGTGCGAGTTCACGCTGCATTCTGCCACACTGAGGAAGAAATCTAAATGTACCTGTAAGTTTGCTAGACTGACTATCCCAGAGTGATGTTTTCAGTCTGACCTGTCTTGAATACTAGTCTTAAAAGAATGAACAATATTGAGGAAATAGATAATATAGAAAAGAGATAAAAATATGTATATTTTATACATTATGTAAACATTTATATATGCATATATTTTAAATACTTATGTTACATACTTATATTTATAAATAATATGAAATCAATATTAATAGGCTATTGTATATATAATCATATATGTTATATGACTTAAATTTAGGCATGGGGGTTTTTCTCATGAGAATTCCTAAAACATCCTTATTAATTAAAAGCAGCGAGTTGAGAAACTTACCCTGGTTTTGTGTCGTTTACTACACAGTGATAGGTAAATGTTCCAAACATCTGAACTCCCAAAATTCCATAAAGAAGTAGAAAGAACAGAAGGAAAATTGAAACACTCCATATTTGTTCTCCTGACCGCCTGGGGAGAAAAGGTAGGTTAAGCAGCTAAGACTTTACCAAAATTCCAGAAACTTTCCCCCTTATGCGACAACAGTGCTTACTTTAAAATATTTGTAATCCTGGTCCTTGGTAGCTCAAATCGGAAATAAATCCGGAAGGCCCGGATCATGATGAGCGGCCGCGGGATGCGCAGCATGCCCCAGGGCGACATCTGGTCGACTATGTCCGCGATTTCAAACACCTGAGAATTCAGAGGAGAATCAACTTTCCCTTTAGCCCTGCTCACAGCCCAGCATCAAAATGTGCCACCAGTACACTTGACTCTACATTATTTTCCACCCATACCAATTCCTTTTCAGTACATTTTGACCTGTCTTAAAAGAAACAAATGCATGACCAATATCTGCTCATTTACAGATAATGTACCAAGGTGTGGCTTTTATTAAAAACAAGTGCCAGAGCATATGTATGCCAAATCTCCCTCACTTATTATGTTCTCCAGTGGAATATTTTGCATATCTACAATGACATAATGTAGAAAAGGTTCAAAATATTATGAAAAAGATTTGTATCGTTTACTAACAGGAAAATTGATAATGAAGAAATGTCAATTACATGTTAATTATTAATAAAAGACATGAACATGCAGGCTGCAGCTAACTTATTGGAGAAATGAGACTTAGGAAATAACTGCTACGATGAATTTGTAGGGTGGAAAATGGGCTTCTTTTGTTCTGAAATTTTTAATTACTACAGTAACTTAGCTGAATTAAATGCAAAAGCAAGCCCGAATGAATGCATTGGAGAAATTCTACTGTTTCTCAGTAAAATTCCCTTGTTTAAGCCCTTTGATATATATTCACCATTATCATAGTAAGACATTTTAATATTGCTACATAGTAAATTAAATTAATAGTTATATTTCTCAGTATACATATACTAACATAAAAGACTAGAATTTTAATTTTGAAACTCATTTTTTATTGTACAAATGAAAAATTTCAACCATGTTCCTTCCTTTATTTCAATGAATATATTTTTATCTAATAAGAAATAATTTCCTATAGTGTTGGCCTTTCATGTCTAATTCACAGAAAATCACAAATGATTGATAATAATGAAACTTAAAATTAGGATATACATCAATAATTAATAAGCATTTAAAATAACAATGTTAGTGAAATAACATTAAACTATTAATTTTTAATTAATGTTATTAAGCTATTAATGTTTTAGTAATGTTATTAATGTTTAATAACATTAACTGTTAGTAAATGTTGCAGGAAATTATCTATTTACTGCTAATATACAGATATTTGAATTATTTTTATTCAATTAAAACTCATTCCCATTTTGGAAAAATACCCCCTGGTAATTAAAAAGTTTATAATTACCTGTAACACCAATGAAACCCAAAGACAAAAGACCATAAATCCATCAAAAACACACCAGCGATCTTTCACATAGGAACTATCCCCCTAAAAATAAACAAGACATAATCAGACAAATGAATATATTAAAGGAACATCTGTGGAGGGAAGTCAGTGTTAACTGAGAAAAGTCCTTCCATAGTTTTATCTTATAATTGAACAGACTTGAAAAAGGAAAAGCACACTTAAAAAATACTTCGAGCATTTTAAATGGCATTGCATATGAAGAAAATAATTTACAAAACACTGGGAACTTCAGAACTCTTTGTGTAAAATTTTAAATTCATGAGAAGGTAAAATAGTGGTGTTTTCTTCTCTTAACCACACAGCTTCTACACTTAAGGAACCAGACGCCACCGTACTAAATAGGTAGGTTAAGTCTCTTGCTACAAGAATCAAGAGTAGTCAATGTTCAGGTGAAGGCTTTAAGCCTGCAAGATTAATCACCAGGTGTGGAATATTAACCAGGAATTGACCCAAGTAACACTGAAAATGAAGAAGAAATTTGCCTTTATTTTCAAAGGTAAACATATTCAGTTGAGATTAGATAGGTAGTGCAAAGATCAAGAAGACATGCCACTTCCACTTGCTAACAGTGAAACTGTTCTGACATTAGAGTGTATGTCATGATAAAAAAAAAAAGTATTTTATAAAAAAAGTTTCTTTGGAAAGACAAAACAAAGCCCGATGAGGTTAGAACTGGAAACCCTAGAGAGACCATTGCTTTATCAGGACTCCTCCATTAAACCACTAGTTCTACGTGAAACTCAATTTCGAATTGGGTCACGTTATTGGCTCTAACTGAATCCTCTTCAAAAATAAAAATAGGAACATCACTCCAAGATTTAAAAAACAAAAATGATCAAACATGTTGCAGGATATTTAGGGGAAAAAATCATTTCTGGGACCTTCCATGCTTAGTAAAAAAGACTCAGAAAGTCTCCTTGAGAAGTTTCCAGAAACATTTAATGTTGTTTCCAAGGCTAATGGCATGATGAGTAACTTAGGGAAAGTTATCTGACTTAGTTGTGAGGTAGAAACTCAATTTTGCAAACACCAAGGAGGCACCACCATTACAGAGATGATGGAAACCTAGTGAAACAGTTTATAGAAATATGTGCTCGGGCCAGAGAACTATACATCAAGGTCACATGCTATGGACTGCCTCCCACACGAGGTCCACACCCCAAGGAGACAAGTTTACTCTACCAGACACCTGTATTGGCAGGTCATCGCCAAAAACAGTCCAAGAAGCTCAGAGAAAAACTCTTTCCCACAGGCCCTACACAGAGCACTTACACTAAAGTTACAGTCAAGGTGGGAAAGATGGGGAGAATACGTCTATGAAGAGTTTAGAGAAAATAGTGCTAATTTCTAAGTAAATGTATCAGTAGTAAGATCATCAACCAAACCAAGCATTTGAAAAGACCCACAAAAGAGATGTGGAGACAGAGATTCGCTGGTGGCCAGCTGGACAATGAGTCTACTAAATTAAGTGCGATGCTCATTATTTGATTTATACTTGATGGAAAATAAAAGTGAATCTCAGGATGCCTGTGATGATGAAAACACATATGCATGCAAATTAAATAGGAAACAAACAGTTTCAGGATATGGTGATTGTCTTCAAAACCCTCACAAAGCGTCTGCTAGGAGAGGTATCGTGTTTGCCTGTGCAGTGCACAATTAACTGCAAATAAAAAGAAAGTCCAGTTTCTTCTGAGCCTAATTGTTAATACTCAAAAAAAGAAAATAGCATGCCGATTATTTAAAGTTGTACTCTGAAGTTTCCATGTAGCTGCTCAGTTCATTAAATCAATTCCTTGGCTTGTTCAGTCACTCACTCATGCGCAGAGACTGCTCTGTATCAGTATAAGGCCGCAGAGATACACCAGTGAGCCAAAGAAAGTCTCCTGCCCTGATGTAACCCACAGTCTCAGTTGATTTAAAAATGAAAACTATGCAGTACATTATATGTTGACAACTGTTATGAATAAAAATAAGTGAGTATGTTCAAAAGGGCTTTTATTTTTAAAATGTGTTCTTTACTTGTGTGTTAGACAAAAAGAGAAAAATAGCACTTGGTCTCTATTGGAAGAACTAAGCATACCTGTGACTGTATTAAAAAATGAAAAAAATCCCCCAAATGAAAACTATATGTAATGGACCTCAACAGAGAACTATTTTAAAAATAGGAACAATTAAAAGTGAATGTTAGACAGGGGAAAAAACTGTTACAGATCGCTGGGTTCACCTGCACACAATCAGGCTAACAAAAGTTTATACGCATCTTCCCCATAAAAGCATTATCACTTCATTTCTTTTTTTGTCATTAAAAACTGTTATATGCATTTTAATATGATAACTTCTTTAGATGCTGATGATTTGCTCTACTCATGAATTATACTCAATAAGGTACAGGAGGAGAATTTTTTCATTATGTTGAAGATTATTCAAAATATAAAGGTGAAGCTAAGCAGCGGTGCTTCCCAGGAGCAGAACTGAAGCGCCAGGACGAGAGCGGGGGAAGACAAGCTTTTCACCTGGATCCAATATGTGTCCTCTGATTAACGCTCGCGCTTTCCATTTTTTCAAACAGATTTTCAAAATTAAAATTTTAAAAGGTAAACACTTTAACTTTCACAAACAGTTGGCACAAATGCAGCCAGATTTGATAGCCATGGGCCTCACCACGTCTGAATGGAAAGCTAGCGCCCACACACAGCGGCTGGCTGTAGTGATTCTGTACTATAGAACTTTGTTTGTGACCGCGGTGGATGTCGCCAAGCTGACCCCAAGTGTGTTCTGAACTATGCAAAAGGATGGACTACTTTAACTCACTTAAAAGCGCCAGTGGAGATCAGAATTTTAAAAAAAACTTCAAACACATTCTAATTTCTAATTATCGTGTATTACAAAAACTGGCTTAGCAACGCTTCTGTTACATAATGTATACAATTATTTGTGAATTAGGAATTAATTTTGCTTGCTTCGCCTGGCATGCTTCCTGCCTCGGACGTCCCAGAAATCCACAGTGGCAGAGTGCTTTCGCCAAGAACACTGGCGGCAGCTAATGTGTCATGGTCAATTAACCGGCTGCTTTAGACTTTGCTGGCAAAATAGGCAACGTATTTTAATCCACTAGGCATAGTTTTACATATTATTTTCTGGTCCATGTCTCTTGGAGATAGTCAATATTCTTCAAAAGCTTTAATTAGCAGTGTTATATAGGAGTAGAGGGGAGAAAAACCATGAACAGGTTTTCCCACCTTGGAAACCATGTTAAAACCTTCTCTTCAGTATTCTTTGCTCTCCGCGCTGTGCTGTCTTCCTGAAAAGCCCTCCAACGCGATGCCAACTGTTTCCTCCACTCTCAACAAAACCACAATCTAACCTGACCATCATCTCAGCTCACGCATCAAACGACAAGCAACAATTGGTTCATGGACATAAGCAACGTTCATGCTGTGTCACTCACCCAATACTCCCATCCGGCTGTTTGATGCATTTCCCTCAGTCCCGCCAACTGAACAGATCTAATTGTGCATTTTGGGCCACCCACTTAAAATTTCTCTAACCCTGTCATTGGGTGCTACCCTGGAAAAGAAGTTTTTTTTTTTTTTAAAGATTTATTTGTTTATATACATACAGAACTGAGGTACAGGCCAGAGGTGCAAAGGGTGAGAGGATTCACCAGAGACCCAGAGACAGAGTGGGGAGCAGAACAGGAAGACTGATGAAGCACACTCCTGAGGGAAGCAGCGGGGAGACAGGAGAGGTCTGCTGTGCCATGTGGGTCACCTCCCTGGCTGGGGATGGAACTCGTGCTGAAGCAGCTGCAGCAAGCTTCACAGTGCTGTGCTTTAACCAGCTGCGCCACAAGGGAGGGCCCAAACGTCCTGTTCTTGATTGTAAATGTTTGGGTTTGTGCTGAGGACTGGGAGCACACTGAAATTTTATATCGGGAAATTTGGAGTGGTTTCCCTAGGGTCCCAGCACAGAGTGAAATACACAACAGGTCTGAAATGATAACTCAGTTAGCACATATGCAGTATCTTAGAGAGTATTTGCAGAGTACAAAGCCTACAGTAAGCAGCGGTGCATATAATTTATGATCGCTTCCATTTGTCAATCTGTTCACTGAAACTACTAGTATTGTTCCTTAAGGAAAATGATCATTTGACTCCTGGCGAGATGAGAAAAGTCATAATACCTTCCAACTTAACATTGGGAAACTAAGATTCTGTCCTTGTGTGGTGATGAAATACCTCAAATGAGATTATGAGACGTTTTCTGGATATTTCTAACTTAGTACAATCTGAATAAGCAGAGATGGGGCCATACAAATAGGAAGGGGATCAAGGTTTATATAAGGTGTGCATTTCAATGTAGTTGTAAATATAACTGAATTGAAACTGATGTCACGTTTATCATTATTGATAATCAATAATGCTTGTGATGCTGAAAATATGGTTTAATAAATATAATAGAATCCAGCTTTGAAATATATTCTCATTTGGAAATATATTATCACATTCCATTTTGTGTTTGATACATCTATCAAATTGTCTTTTCTCCCGTTTGTATTTTGAAAGCTCTTAACCGTAACTGATTAAAGCCACTATGATTCAACCTAGAGAATTCTACTGAAGCATGTTTGTGACAATATTTGTAAATAGTAAGCGGTCCCTCTTCTCTGCTTCCAAAATGTGTAACCAGAATCTTATACACAGGAATGCCTGATAGGGCTGCAGCAAAGCCAGCACCATAGCTAGGAAAGAAAGGCTTGATTTGTCTGTTGTTAGATTATCAGGAAGAAAAGCAGAGAGGAGAAGCTTGAACTACCGGCCGTATCGGCAAGCAGGGGGCTGCAGAGATGAGTTAGTCCAGAGCTGTCATTCAATTTTTATATAGGTAAACACTCAGAGGCTGCCAATCAATTATCCAGTCTAAGTGAATAACTTAAATTGCCAAGCAAGTACTTAACAAGCAAAGAAACCAAGCACATTAAGCTGAAGACATTTATAGGAGTCTATTTTGCAGTTACA